CCCTAACTCTCAACATGATTGTATCTGGAGATGGGGCCATTGGGAGGTAATTAGAGTTAGATGAGGTCATGCTATTAGAGACCTCATAGTTTCTCTTTCTCTCTCCTTTCTGTGCCATGTGAGGACACAGAGAGAAGGTGGCAGTCTGCAAGCCAGGAAGAGAGCGCTCTCCAGAACCCAACCATGCTGGCTTTCTGATCTCTGACTTCCAGCTTCCTGAACTGTAAAAAAAAAAAAAAAAAAAAAAAATTCTATTGTTTGACAGTCAGTCTATGGGATTGGCATGGCAGCCTGAGCAGAATAAGATACTGTCATCCCACATGGAGTTTTGTCTACCTTTTAATCCATTCTCTATTCAGTCGGATGACTTCTGAAATATAAGTGACCATGAGACTCTCTTGCTTAGAACATTTCAGTGGAAAACAAGACAAAACCAAACCAAAGCAAGCAAAAAAAAAAGTTTCAATATCTTTCTGTTATTGTTAATATACCCCAATTCTGTGAAATACTCTCAAGTGCTTCTAAGAGCACTTTTACCCACTGTTTTTATAATCTAATTTTGATCCTCTCGCACTTTAGCCACATTGATTTTGTTAAGGTTCCGTATACACTATTATTTCTATAGATCTCATATAAAGAGGCTTTGTTTAATGCCCTCCCTTATTACTGGACCCACTTCCTTTCCCCCTTTTGAAGCTCATACCCTTTTACTCACCCTTCAGGTCTCCTTTCAAATGGAGCTTCCCTAAGAGGCTTTTCCTAACTTGCAGAAGAGATCAATATCCCTGATTCTAACATTGAAATCTTCTGCCCTTCCCTGATTATACTCCTCAATTGTTACTATGTTCACTTAAAGTCTGTCTTCTTAGCTACTAAAATGGAAGTTCTGGGAGGATGCATGGTAAGCCTTTCTTGTTCACCATGGAAGCAGAGTACCTTCAGAGGTACTCAGTGTGCACAAATGAATGAACAACCCAGGGAAAAAACAGCAGACTCTTTTTCTGCTTGCCCCAGCACTGAGCTTGATGGCTCTGGATGACAGGTGTTTGCCTGTTACCCAGACCTCATTATCCCTGGGGTAGTGGCTTCCTTGAGCTGGAGATACTCTCTGTCCCCAGAACTGTTAAGGACAGGAGGAAGACCAGTATGAACTAGTTTTTAACATAGGAAAATGGAGTAGATTTGTCAAGCTATAGATCAAGGAATTTGATTGCAAATTTGGGATAGAATTCCAAAACATATTACTAAATGTATTGTTAACTACACAAGGCCCATTTGAAGCCCAATAAATGTTTTTTTTTAATTTAATGGATTATAAATGAATGTCTGTGAGCACTTAGAAAAGAAAGAGTTGATCAACATGAGTCATCATTGATTAAAAATACAACAGGACATTTTTGCACTTAGAAGTTTCACCGTGACATTTTGATAAGCTCCCACTCACCCCTCCTATCTTGGAGTTCTGAACACATACCAAAGAATAAAAATCTGGAAAATATAAGTTCAAGGTATTTAAATCTGAGAAACTCCCCCAAACACCTATCCATCCAGCAACAATGCAAAGCCCTCTTATAAAAGCATGGTTGGGGAGTGAAGTTTAGGGTTGATGCTTCAGTGAGTTTCCTTCTCTGGCCATCTGTCCCTTCCCTATTCTCTTTTCTCCTACTTATCCTGAGACTGAAATGAGTCTATGGAGGAGATCCTGAGTTCACTTCCCTAACCACTAGAGACATCAGTGAGACTGGCCCATTGGTACCCCCAGGTGTGCTTACACGAAGTGCAAAGGAAAGATTGCACTTGGGGGCTGGGGACACGTGGCTCAAGTGGTAGTGCGCTTGCCTAGCATGTGTGACTCACTGGGTTCGATTCTCAGCACCACATAAAAATAAAAAATAAAGGTATTGTGTCCACCTAAAACTACATACATATATATATATATATATATATATATATATATAAAGATTGCACTTGGATTTGGTTCCTTGTCATAAATTGACCTCCTTCCTGCTAAAGTGTGATCTAATAATTGAATGACCCAATCTTTGACCAGGAGCTGAAAAAGTTCAGCGATATTAGTAGTTTCCCTTCACCATATGCAGAAGCTGGTATGTGGAAAAGGGGTGTAGATGTTGCATGCACATGCACTCTCTCTTTCTCTCTCTTTCTCTCTCCTCTCTTTTTGAATCTGCTAAAATGACTTATGGATTATAGGACTGTTGTAGATATTAGATAATAGTAATACCTAAGCTGACAGTCACTGAGTATTTTTATGTGCTCAGTCCTGTTCTAAGAACTTCATAATGAATTAACTTACTTAGCCACTAATCAATCCTACCAGCTTAAGGTTTCAATCCCATGATCTGAGTGATTTGTGAGGAAAACACAGCTAGTAAATGGCAATGTTGGAATTTATACCCGACAACCCAGACCTAGAGATGGCGGCTTTACTGGAACACCAGTAGGCCCAGGAAGAAGGTAGATTCCTCTAAGACACTTGACAATGCCTCTAAAATGTCTTCATGGATACAATAGAAAAATGAGATCTGGAGATTACAGTGTTAAGGGGGCTATTAATTACAGAATGAACCAGAAAGCCAAAGAATACTGTTCCAAGCCATGGCAGAGGGAACCCTAGGGGGTCCTTAATGAAGTTTCACAGGACATCCTAGAATTGTTAACTCATTTTTGGCTACAGGGATACATTGATTGCCTGAATTGAATCCATAGAGACTTAGATAACTTGGACCAGGTAGATTTGGTTCCCAAAGATCAACTCCACAAGAATGGATATGGCTTAATGTAACACAGCAAAGGAGTTCCTATTTTCCTCTTGCACTTGAATCAACAATGAGATGCATTTGAAAAAAATTCACAAGAGCCTAGCTGTATTCTGTTTGTTAATGGCTAATTAGATGATTAATCTAGAACACAACTAATTTGTTTAAGGACAGAATGTAGTGTCCTTCAGGGGAAGATGGCTCAGATAAGAGAGAACTGAAATCATTTCACATTGAGGGGACTCAGAGTAACTAAAGATGTTTAAAACTTGGAAGGATATATTGCAGTAAATTTTGGGACTATCTTGAAAAATTTGAAAAAAAAAAATCTCACGGAGCAAAGATGTGACCTACTCTATGTTAACTGTAGAGGGCAGTCCTGGGTCTACAGGTTATAGGGAACTACGTTTATCTAATTGTTGTGCAAGGAGGGGAAAGTTATGACATCTCACACATACTGAGTGCTCTAGATGCCAGCACTAAAGTTAAGGTCTTAATATGCCTCTGCTAGAAAGTTGTAGATCAAATTTATACTCATCACTACAAGCATCTCATTGAACCGTTATTAAAGTTTCTACTTAGTAATTGCTTATTAAATGACCTCATTTAATAGTTGCCCTTTTGACTGTTATTATTATACCATTACTGTTTTATAGACAATGGAATAGAGAAGTTCAGTTACTTTCCTGGAATCACCCTGCTTTAAGTTACTGGCTTATAACCATCTGGACCCAGGCATTCCTGCTACTATTACTGCCTCCCAGAGTTATATCTCTAATACAGGTTGGACCAGGGCTGTTCATTAGGAGTATAATGTGAGCCACTGATGAGAGCCATATGTGTAATTTGGCTTTTTCTAGTAGCTACATTAAAATGTTTGAAAAAGAAATTAATTTGGATTACATGTATCTTAACTGATACAGTAACCGAATTGACTTACTATATCCAATAAGTCAACTATAGTTTCATCATTCATTGAGACAATGCAATGAATATAAAAATAATTAAGCTCTTTTACATTTTGATCTTTGAACTAAATCCTGTGCCTATTTTACACCTACGGAACAACTCAATACTAGTCACATTTCAAAGGCTTCACAATGTTTTGTGTTGCTAATGGACAGTCTCAACATAGGGTTAAAATTTTAATCTCCTTGGAAAGGGGCTGAATCTCAAAGGGGAGCTTTGCTTTCCATATTAGATACTGATGCCTCTCAGCTCCCCAGATTCTCTCCTTTTCCAGTTAGAAGGGAAAGCAGAGCAACTGTCTGCCTTTTCCAGTGAAGCTATAGCAGAGATTTCTGAATTTGGAGAGGACAGGTGTTTCTCTTGCAATCTCCTGCCAGCAAAGCTGAGATTTAACATGTTTGATTTCTGCTTTGAAAATGAAGTAGTTTGCATGACTTAAATAATTTCTCCTAAATACCAAATTGTGGGTAGGACGTCTTGCTTTCTGCGAAGTTATTTAAAATTAGGGAATCCCTGACTTCATTGAAAGAAACCTTGTCGTTTAAAATTATAGGGGAGGTAAATACATCGGTTATTTTTCCACACTGCCCAAGAACAAGGCACAAAGGCAAATGTGGCTAGCCTTTTAAAGTAGCCTCAAAAGAGCCCACCGAAGTTTCCCCCCTTAAAATCCCAAACTACTTGCCAAAAAGGAAAGCATATAAAAAGATGCCACGCGCTTTTGGCCTCCCGGAGGTGGCGCTACGAGGGTGACGGAGTTAATTAGTGCCTGCAAAACGCCGTGTGTGAGCTCATCGGAGAAGTCATGTTCTGCACACACATTATTTATAGCAGATATGAGGCATGCATGGTGTTTGACATTTCCCTCTTGAAGTAGGGGGACTGCATAAAGTCGTAGGCAACCCCTCCTAAACAAAGTGCGGTGGGCAGGCAGCAGGGCGCGGGCGGG